AAAAAAAAAAACGCAGACAAACAAGCAGTTCGGGTTTTTTTGTTTTGTTTTTACAGCACCTCGGTGTTTAATGACTATTCACCCGCTGCAAGTGAAAGAAAAACTTTATCTAGCCTGTAAAATGTGGGACCAAGAGAGGGAGACAAACACAAGCTTGTGTAGGAGAGCAAATCCTGCTCACATGCAGTGATTCTGGAAAAATCCTTTGGAATCAATAAGCCAGATGTCTCTGATGTTTTCTAAGCAATATCAGTCCAAGGGAGACAAAGGTCCTGCTCTGTGACCTGCAAGGCATGTTGTTGCCCTTTTAAGTCAGTCAGAGAGGGTGTGAAGGACACCACTGGCATCCCACAGGCCTGACACAGTTCTACTGCTTGGCTTGAGCATTACATACCGTAGAACTGCCACGTCTCAGAAGGGATATATGACCTTATAAATCCTCACCACAGAGTAACAATTTCATCTGCAACAGTGGAACAGCCAAAAACCTCACTGCACTGTCTGCCTCGTCTTCTTTTATGTCTTCTTTCGGCCGCTCCCTTCAGGGGTCACCTCCGTTTCACTCTTTACCTAGTAATCTCCTCTGTCACACCACCCCTCACACGAGATCTCACTACACCATCTTGTAAACCTTCCCTTTCACGCTTGCTGCTATCCTTCTATCACAAATTAACCCTTGACAGGTGCCTGCACCCACTCCACCCTGCCTGCGTTCCCTTCTTCACCTGTCTTTTCCACTGTCCATTGCTTTGCATGGTTGACCGCAGGTATTTAAACTAATCCAGGTATTTAAACCTCATCACAGAAAACTTCACTGCCAAAAAAACCTTAAATGCAGTTACTGCAGCATAGACGCCTTCTTTTTCTTCTGCTTCTTTGGGCTGCTCTCTTCAGGGGTCATCACAGCGAGTCATCTGCCTGCATCTCACCCAATCCGTAACTATCCTCCACTATATGCATTAAATCTTCCATCCAATACGACAATGTTGTTATTAAGACTAATACGCCATCTAGTGGCAATCTTATGACACTACAAGGCTAACGTGCATATGAAAAACTTGTCAATACAGAGAAAGAAGACATGTCACATGCAGGGGCACTGAACTAGCATTAATAACTATTTAAAAGTGAAAGAAGCAGTAATTAAACAGTAGTTAAAGCTGTAGATGCTAATGTTAGCACACATGTTAGTTTACCTGTCCATGTCTTCTGCTCTGGGATTAAGTAATATTTGTTCCCCAAATGATCGGTCCCGACGTGCTCGCGTACTACTCCGAAGCCACGCCGTAGGATTGCAGCAATCCTGCTCATCTTATAGGGCCAACCAAAGCCCTTGTGTGTGAATATGTATATATAAATATAGTTTAATGCAGCTCTATCCGCTGTTTGTCCTCTCACGGTGATCGTTTATGCAAGGGTTCATGGGATGGGAACAGAATGAACAAACTATTTTGTGATTGGGTGACGGTATCAGACCCACCAATCATCGCATTTGTAGTTGAATGCTTTAGAATCCAACATGGCGGCGACTTGTTTTGAATTCTTGAGAGGACACTTAAATTTCTTTGAATTATAAGCAATGAATTGTAAAAATATCACAACGGAAGTATTTAAGTTGGGTATTTTTCTATTTCATATCGTGTAATGTTTTATAGGACGTCCCGAGACTTACTTTGGATTAAAACGTCACTACATTGTGGGTAACATGTTAGCTTTTGAACTGTAACGCGGTTTAAATACTGGCTAACTGTTAAAACAAAAAGAAGTTGTCTTCATGTTGAAGCTATGTTGGGCTTTCTGACAGCCAGGCAGGCTGGTCTGGATGACCCTCTGAGACTGAGACGAGCGGAATCAACGAGAAGGTGAGAGAGAAGCTCTTATAAACATAACTAGCAAGAAGAAGTCCACAACAAGCTTTGGACTAATAAAACTATGAAATCGAAATTATACCGGTACTATATGAACATTATGTAACATAACAAGCATCTTAGTTAATACACATACATGAGGTTTTGTTTATAAATAGTTCTTAACTATTGTTAGCAACATTGCTGTATTACATACAACTCTGGAATATGTGCCAGACTTATTATGTTTTGGAAATTCACACAAACTGAAAAGTTATTTATTTTAACAAAAGAAAGAAACACTAACTCTAGATTTAAGCGCCTTAGTCTGGGCCAGTGTTTGTTAATTCATCTCTAACGTTTTAGAGTTAACTACTTAGGTTTCAGTTTGCCTACATACATTTTTACATTATAATATGTGTGACTCACTTAAGAAACCCAGCGATCTCTCTCTTTCCAAAGGGTCCTCGGCCTGCAGTTGAATCCCGACAGAGATGTGGACCGAATCCATGGAAATGGCATTAATACCATTGACATTGAAGCAGTTGAGGGAAGATAGTAAGTCTGAGTAACATAGTAAACAAAGCTTAATCTATCCATTTTCTTAATCACTTATTCAGTTCTTTCATACAAACTCCAGACAGAAAGACCCCCATTCGGCCAGTGGATTCGAACCCAGACTGTGCCATTCCCATGTGCCATACAGGTTCATAAAAATAATTCATTAATATCCCCCCTTGGAATGTTAATTCTTGCAATATTGCAGTGATTGGGATGTTGCATAAAAACAACAAAAAATAAGCTCTATTGGAAAAATCATGCAGCAAAGTAAAATTTATCTGACTAAATAACTTGCTGTCCTGACACAAAGATAAATATCTTAACCATAGGCTGTGAAAGTTGTAATATTTAATTTCGGAGGACAACCTTCACTGCTGCTGATCCCGCTCCCCTCTGAGATTCACCATAACCTGTCTCTGGACATTTTTATAAAATAGTTGAAATGCCAACTATTCACTGAGGCTTTGACCTTAAACCTTTATGTGTAAAGCAACCTTGGGTTCTCTGTAAAGGTCTGAGAGTTTATTATTATTATTATTCATATTATTATTATTGTAGGTAAATATTGAGGTTTGTTACTAAGTCCTTGCATATGTACACTACTGTATAGTAGAGATGGCAAGATACCACTTTTTTATGTCCGATACCAATATCATAAATTTGGATATCTGCCGATATGCCGATATGAATCCGATATAGTGTTTTTTTAATCAATAAAACAGTTTTTTTTTTATATCTTGCTGCATTTTGTACAAGTTCATACTCAAGTTAAAAACAACAACAACAATAAAGCTATTCTGTTATACCTGTATGCAAAAAAAAATAGTTCATAGTTTTGCAATACTGATCAATCTAATAAACTTAAACCTACACCATCCTCCCTATTCTGGTATTTTAAAGAGTACTTAGCGTAAATATTAAGCAACCTAACTAATAGGGTTCCAACTCCCAGCAACAAAAAAAAAATAGGGAACCACCCCTCACGCTCGACCTCATTATGCTTAATCGACATAATCAACCTTTTTTTATTTCTCTCCGATATCCGATCCAGTAATTTAGGTCAGTATCGGACCGATACGTAATATCGGATCGGTCCATCTCTACTGTATAGTAGCAGAATCACTGTCAGTGGTTCAATGATAAGTATGTAAGTAAGTAAAATTAATTTATTTTGGCGCTTTTTAAGACAAGAACCAATCCGAGAACTATAGTACTTTACAGAGGCATTACAAAAGATGGTCAAAATACAGACCAGAATCAAGTAAAACAATACAAAAACATTACCCAAGTGCTCGATGTTTTTTTAATCTGTTTAAGACCTTTGCAGCTGTAAAAATATAGGAAATAAGTCTTAAGATCCCAAAGGGGCAATTTATTTCAGCAAGACAGATTAACATATAAAAGCAGTGACAACAAAGCAAAACCCAATAAAATTCCTGAGTAGAAGTAAAAATGACAATGTAAGTATATTTACGTTACATTAAACACTCATTTAACCCTTAGATGAAAGAACAATTATTCATAGTATTGAAACGTTCCCGCACTGTGACTTGACTGCTCTGGAAATTCATATTTTTAACAAGTAACCATAATCTTTGTTAGTTAGTATAGTGAGTTTGAAGGTAGAAGTCTGGATTCAGAGGGTGAGCCTGATGATTGAATCTATGTGTGTATATTTTACAAGGTTTGTAAGACAAAGTAAAAACCTGAAAAGTATTTCAGGTGACATTTTTTCTGCTGTTCAGCATGCTGTCTGGAGGTGCAGACGGAGTAATCGTCATCTATGACCTGGAGAACTTCAGTGGGAAACTACAGTACACCTGCAAGGCAGTCTGCACAGTAGGAAGGTAAATGTTTGCCCATTTACTAATTCCATCCACTAGAGAGTAGCATTCTATTGCGGGCTGTACACAGTGCTGTCCCCAGCTACCTACAGCTTTTTGTTTTGGTTATAAAATATACACAAAAACTAGAAGAGATCTACCACAGTAAATCTAAAAATTAAATAATCAAGATGCAATCAAAACGCAGACCTTCACCCATTAACCACTGAGAAATTACAGTTGTTGTTTAATACATTCACATAATTTTACGAGCTCAAATGGATTTGGATAAATTAGCGTAATCTTAACTAAAACGAATGAGTGTTGAAGGGGTTTGAGAATGGTTTCCTTTTGTGAAGTTTTGCCAGGCTTTTACAACAGCTGTCTACAGTTGTTTTGTCTTTATCAAATAAAACGCATCTTTAATTGTGTTGAGATTAGGGGACTCCCTTTGCTACTACAGAATACCACTCTTATAAATAAACTTCCAGCTTGTTTTAATAGTTTTTTGGGAACTGCGCATCTGTAACGTGAAGTGTCATTGACTTAGCGTTGCTGCATTTGATTTAATCTGAAAAGAAATCATATCTGTGCAATACCATTCAAGATTTTATCAATCTGCTTCTGTCTACAATAAACACCAATACCCAGTGCTATTGGAAACCACCTATTCCCATGGATCACACTGCAGAAGTTGTTCTACGCTTCAAATTCTGGACCTACAGAACGTTCTTCTTGCATTTTGGAACAGGTTAATCTGAGTTTCATGCTCTGGTCATGAGCATGAAACTCAGGGCCATGCTCATTTGCATAATGAGCATGGCTGGCTTCACTTTCACTGAAAACTATTGAGGCTTCACAGAATGCCTTGGAGTCAACTTCCCATCTTTTGCCTGCATAACTTATTAGGAAATAAAGACATAGCCTACAGCCATCCATAATACAGGTTTTAAGCAACTTGTTTAGTTGTGTGTATATAAATGTCTGTAATTCTTCAGTTCAGTATTTTTATTCATCCGCTTCAGTTTAAGGTTTAAAGTCTGCATTTCAGGTTCATCTTGATTATTTTATTTCAGTTTCAGCTGTCAGAGTTAAGAGCCAAAAATGTGAAAATTGTATCAGTGTCCAAACATTTATAGAACTAACTGTACATGAGAGTTTTTTCTCACTTATTACAGAAAACATCCTGCGCTATCTGGTTTTGTCAATCCCAAATCAAAAACATGACACATGGCTTTCACCCCATGTTTTATTTTTATTTTTTTTGTTCTTGTTTTTAGGTCTAGCCGCTATGTCCATAAATTTAGCGTAGAGACAGTCCAGTGGTATCCTTATGACACAGGAATGTTTGTGTCTAGTTCCTTTGACAAGACCATGAAAGTCTGGGACACAGAGACATTAAAGGTAAGGCATATCAACTACTGTATCGTCTGGTAATCAAGCCACTAGGTGAAATGGAGACTGACAGCAGAGGTTAGAAAAATGATTGTTTAAGGTCAGCCAGATGAACAAGAGGAGGTCTTGCAAGGAGTTGTGGCCTTCCCTAAGCTAAATCAGTCATGCGTTTATACATAAGGTAACAGCTGTGGACATCGAACAGTTAAACACATCTGCCAGCTAAAGGCTCTTGTACTGGCACTGCAAAGCCAGTAGGGGTTGCAGAGAGTCTTAATGCCTAACAAGTTTATTACCTAACTTAGTTTTTTCAGGCACACCTGTAAAATGTGTGTGAAGTGGCATGAACCAAGATAGAGATACTGGAAGCGTTACAGTGCCACCCAACATAAACTCAGTAATACCAGAGCTAAATCAACACCTCTCTGTGCAGCCTCAATAAATACTGAGTGTTGTATTAAAACTTCACAAAGGTGGGATTTATTGTAGAGCTCACAGAGAGTGTGTTGCATTTCATTATCAAATTCTAATTTATGGCTCCTCCACCCCCACCCCCGCCTTTTGTTCTTTTCATTTTCTCTTCCCCTCGCTTTCTTATTTTCTGCTTCATGCTTTCTACCTTTCTATGCCACATTGTCCCATATGGCAGGCTCTGAACTGTGCTAGAGTTACACTGGCACCACAGTTGCTTTAAAAGGTCAGGGAAGGGACAGAAAAGAACCTGTCAACCTTTCACTCGGTTTAACCTGTGTGTTTCTGTCTCTCACACAAACACACACACACAGTTGCATCTATTA